CTCTTAGGTTGTTGGAGGCCATCGCTAGTAGGTTGGAGGCCATCGCTTCTAGGTTGGAGGCCATCTGCTGTACATCCAGGCTTTTAAGGTCATGTGCCTCATTCGTTGGACATTTTCTCTCAGATTTCCCTCAAAGATCGTGTGAGTCGTCTGTGACTTTCAGTAGGGACATGGCCGAAGCGACAGGATCGGTGGATAACCAAAGCCTATCATTGAAAGGCCTTGACCGCTCGCTCATCGTTGGTCTGAACCGTGTGTAGATCGCCATGAGGTCATTGCGTTTGACAATCACTCCAGCCCTAGTCGCTTTGGAGATGAAGCATCTTCCAGGAGAAGCTTCTGTGAACTCCGGATTGCTGATTGTTTGGTAAAGCCTTTCTTTAAAAAACATAGGCGATCAAGTTTGATGGGGGTCACCAAGAAGAAGGGCTGTGCAGATATGAACCATCCAACAGCACCTGCAGCATCGACTGCACTTTGGAGGATTATGGTACCTGGTGCAGAAGTGCAGCGAGCAGATGCGGAGGCCACGGTGCTGCAAGAAAATGAAGTAGAAGGTGAACAGAGCCCACGATGCACCCTTTCAAGCATAATTTAGTTGGAGGCCATCGCTAGTAAATTGGTAGGTTGGAGGTCATCGCTAGTAGTAGGTTGGAGGCCATGGCTAGTTTTTTTTCAGTTTTACATTCATTCATAATTTAGGACCTGAGAGGTCGTTGTGTAATCAAGTCGTTGATTACAGTTAGTCCGCCGGCAAGGCAGCCATGTCTGGGAGTGTCGGACGGACACTTTTGCTGGTATATCCTCCACCTGGAGACATGGCGTCAAGGCGAAGAGAAGTCTTTCTAACTCTTCATGACGGTATGTCAAGTCCGATGAACAGCGGATGCTGACACAATGGCATGAGTCAGGTGCCTGTCCGCTTACGGCGGAGAGACGTTGATCTACGTGGGAGAAGGTATGGCTTGCTCTTGGGTTGAAGCCGGCAGTGAAGACCTTGCCCAGGTCGAGGAGGTGTGAATGCTAACAATCACTTCTTCGATCTTCTCAGCCATGAGTGGACATTGGAGGCATGTAGCCCAGATTGGAACATTGTTTTTCTGTAACAGAGGAGCAGAGTCTCAGGGACTATATAGTGAGAATAAGAGGCGCCTTGATAAAGTGTCTGACGCCAGAGCCTGCACTGTATAGCTTGTACTTCATGTCAGGAATCCTTGAGCTTGGAAACTCTACCCTGGCCAAGCACTTGGTTGTTGCCATTCTTGACTCACCACCGGAGCTACTCACAAAAGCCTCAAAATGAGGAGTTACGAAAGCGTCTATGTGCTCAAGCGCGCGCTCAACTCAAGCGTGTTGCGGATCTTTCAGCCAAGCTTCGGTTGGCTGTGATGAGCGAAGAGTCTTGGGCCTGAGGCACACAGCTCAAAGGCATAGCTGTTTGCCGTTACTCAAAAAGTAGCGGAGAGACGAGAAGAACACACAGCATCTGTGTGAAGATATTTGGGCCTAGGCAAACCACAAATGATGCCTTCTCGCCGTCCTTCTTTGGCCGCGTCCAGTTCTAGCTTTTGCCTTTGCTCAGTGCCTTGCATTACCCAGAGCCATGTGGCTCTGAGTCTCAGAGGCAGCTAGGACCTAGGAATGACAGGCGATTGACAATGGCTGTAGGTACATGAGGGTTAGTGCACACTGAGCTTGCTGAAGCTGGTTCCCCTCCTCCATGTACCTTTCAGCTTCAGATAGTATAGTTTTGACCGTGCATGTATGCTCTTGAGAAGCTTCGACAGCTCATGCCGACCTGATGGCACTATCCCAAGCGGTGGTTTTCTTCTCGAAAGACTGTCACCTTGAACTGGGTGGTGTTCAAGTTCGCTGTTTGAACTTGAGATGACGACCTTTGGTAAGGCCTTGAGCTATGGCACCAACCGTGTCGGGAGAGTGGTCTTACGGGCATGATTCACAACGCGTACCTGTCTCAGTCATGCAACTTGAGTGATTCAACAGAATGAGTTTTCTGTAGCAACTCCTAGGGCCTAGGGACTTTTTCTGCTTTTTTGCCCCAGGAGTTCAATCTCCCTTCCGTGTACCCATAGCTCCCCGTCAGCAAGATGTTCACCGCGACGCAGAAGAGCGTCGGTTGGCTGAGCCCAGGTGCAAGTCCTGAGAAAATGGCCGCAGCGCTCGACTCCGTCCTGCGCTCAGCCCGCACTGCTATACAGACTCGGTTTGTGTTTGCACGGAAGAAGCAAATACACAAAGCATCGAATGCACACAGAGAGTTTGATGAAAAGACTGGCAGAAACAAAAGCATCATTGTGGTGCTGGAGGGCTGCAGTGCAGCATCTAAAGAGAACAGACGAGTGAGAAGAAGATGAGCATCTCAGGTAGCTGCGACACTTGAAAAGGATCTAGAGGATGAGCGCCGCGAACGGCGTGAACAGGCGCCTTTTCGCCGACCGCGACCGTGGATGCACGTCGCATGCTTCGTCGATCGCCTGCAGGTGGCCTTCCTGAATCGCATTTGCGCGAAAGAACGGGAGCTCCTGGTTGGCACATTGCTCAGCCAGACGAAGATGACCAGTGTTACCCCCAAGCTCTGTCCCAAGCGGAGCTAAACACCCCAAAACAATCCCCAAAACGGCCCACCCGCTCATTCATGATCAAACAAGAACTGATAATTATGAGGCTTACGCCTGACAGCCGGGCGCCGGCCTATTTGGGTTTGGGTATGTGCAGGGCTGGGTCCTGTCTCTCTCTCTTTGTCTCTCTGTCTCTCTCTCTCTCTCTCTCTTTGAGACTTGGTGGAGCTATCTGGTGCGCATCTTGGCCCTATAGGTTGGGCCAAGTTGAGCCCATGTGGTCTATGTTGGGCACATCTTGGGCCCAAGTTGAGCCTATGTTGGGCCTAGGTCGGCCTATGTTAGGCCTATGTTGGCCTAGGTTGGGCCTATGTTGGGCCTATGTTGGCGTATGTTGGCCCCATGTTGGCATATGTTGGCCCTATGTTGAGCCATCTTGGAGGCTATGTTGGGCATATGTTGGCTATCTTGGGCCTATGTTGGGGAGATGTTAGGCAACTTCTGTACCCAACACCCACGAAATGTCGATTAAGCCTGTCCGCGCGGCACGCATAACCGACACCACCGGTGCCCTGTTAGGCGCAAGTCATGTCCGCCGAAGGCCACGAAACACTGTAAAAAACGATGTTTTCCACATCATGCGCAATCATGCTGGTAGAAAAAATAGATAACATAAAAATCTATCAAAAATCTGTCGGGCGGATTCGGGCGGGGGTCGACCGGGGGGGGTCGGCGGCAGGGGCGGCGAGCGTATATAACCTTCGGTTACCAACCGAAGGCCTCCGGCAAGGACACGGGCCCGTGGCCGGCGCCCGGATTTAAAGGCTTACGCCTGACAGCCGGGCGCCGGCGCACTTGGGTAAGAGAGTTCTGGGTCGAGGCGGTTGGTGTCGCTCGCGGTGTTTGCGGGGCGTGGTTTCGGTGAGGGACCCGCCACGTTTCCATGGAGTCTTCCACGGAGAAGACGGGGGCCGGGGTTTGGGGCACCCCGGCAGCACCCGTCCGAGGGACGGGGGCTGACTGCCCTGGTTGCTTGCAGCAACCAAAAGTCGGGAGAGCCGTCGGAGAGAGAGGAGGCACATGGAGCGCGATGCACGCTGGGAGGCGGCAGCTGTCAGCTGGCAACAAGTGCGTCGCTCACGCCAGCCAGCCACAGCCCTGGTGAGGACAGGCAGACAGGTTGGGCATATGTTGGGGATGTGTTGGCTATCTTGGGCCTATGTTGGGCCTATGTTGGCGTCTGTTGGCCCCAAGTTGGCCTATGTTGGCCCTATGTTGAGCCATCTTGGAGGCTATGTGGGGCATATGTTGGGGATCTGTTGGCTATCTTGGGCCTATGTTGGGGATATGTTAGGCGATTTATGTTGAAAAAATCTTCCGATACAACTTTTGGCGATTTTTTCCTTCCCGCAAAGCAAAAACCATGAAAAAACCTAGGTTTTTTGACATCGCCCAGATGAAATTCTCGGCCGCCGAGGGCCCCCAAACCCTGTAAAACACAGTGTTTTTATACCTCACACACACGAAACCCTGTAAATTACGTTGATATCAGTGACTCGGTGGTCCCCCCGTTTTGGTGACGAGGGTCGGCGGTGGGTCGGCGGCAGGGGGCGCGCCCGTCTATAACCTTCGGTTACCACCGAAGGCCCTCCGGGCATGCCACGGGCGTCCTGGCCGGCGCCCGGATTTATGAGGCTTACGCCTGACAGCCGGGCGCCGGCCTATTTGGGGG